ATTACAGTTTATTTTTGGAAAATTACCTATGAGATCACAGCCAGTAGCAGTGTTCAGTTGTTATAGCTGAATTTACTTTCAGCACTTTGAATGAACTAGAAAGGTATGGAAATTTACAAACCTTTCCTGAAAGGAAATTCTATTTGACATAATTATTAATTAAGTGCAGAAAGCCACAGCATATTAAGTTAGTAAACTGTTCAGTGGATTTGTTCCTGATGCAATCCATAGGTTTAAATCCCCTTTATGGTATCTAGTGATTATTCACTGTTTCTTTGCTTTGTACTCCTCTGCAGAATGGAACAGTTCAATTCTGCTGCTTCTGCTGCTCCTAGCATTTTCTGAGTGTCATGTCATGTTGAGTGATAGTGCTCTTTATTCTAATTGGATGTTTCTTTTCTTCTAAGAGAAAGTCACTTTATTCAGATATGATAACCTAACTGTGTAAATGCAAAAATACAAAGCACAAAACACTTAAATAGGAAGCTTGATAATTGCTCAAAGCTTAGGAAACAAAGTTAATGCTGATTGTAAATGTCATAAAAAGTTGCATTTAATTTTCCAATAGGTTAAGTAACTTGACTGGCTTCCAAAAAGCTAGCAGCGAAAAAAATGCAAGTCAAATTCACATGCTCATTGTAAATAAGCCCTTGGGAGATGGTAGAATTCCTCTGCTCATCAGTATTTGCAACATTTTCATTTAAGAGCTTCTGGATATTTGAAGTGATGAAGTGTTGAAAGTAAGGGGACAGTGCAGTGAAACTAAGGAACTGTATAATCAGTGTGACACCAAAGTAAATGGGATACTGCTTGGTTGTCTGCAATATAAGCCCTGGGAGATTATACTTCCAGGACAAATGAACACCTGCATTCTGCCTAAAACTGAAGGAAAGATATGTACGACAGATACTGGACTTTTGGCACCAGGCAGAGGGGCAGGAGGTAGGTTCACGGGTTGGTTGGGAGTTGTTTACTTCCAGGCCTCAGGCCAAATGGTTCTTGATACTAAGCTAAACTTTGAGGGAGAGATCGGTAAGTTGTGGACAGTTAAGGGAAAGATGGACAGAAGAGTTGTGAACCTTCTGGTAATGGTGATGTAAGTATTCTCATGGGACTAAGGTTTCTCCTAGATCACAAAGGTGATTTCTATGTTACTATAGCAATAAAGCAATGGCAGAAGGCAGGGGTGGGATGCTCTTCGGAGGGTCAATGCAGACCCAATAGGCTGAATAGCCTTTATCTGTACTATAGGGATTCTATGATTCTATGATGCAACCAGTGAAACACAAATGCACCATCAATTCTGAAAACATCTATTCCGTGATACGATCCCCATAGAAAATGATAACTTTTCAAAAGTGAAGTGGTGGATGCAGGGACAATTACATCTTTTAAAAGAAATCTGGATAGATACATGAATAGGAAAGTTTTGGAGGGATATGGGCCAGGAGCAGGCAGGTGGGACTAATTTAGCTTGGGTTTATGTTCAGCATGGACTGGTTCTACCAAAGGGTCTGCTTCTGTGCTGTATGACTCTATGTATGAGTTTCCCAGTGATGAAGAGAATCGCAAGAAAAGATTTCATGTTTTAAACTTTTCCTGTTAGATCAATGAAGCATTACTTAGTAAGCAACCGACACACTCTAAATTACAGAAAAGTTACTCCCCTTGAATTTTTTAACAAAACTGAAAACGCCACGCCGGCACCTCTCAGCATTACGTTTAAAGTCCCAAACTCCTACTGGTTTTAACAGAATCTCTTCGCCCTGCCCCATGGAGAATATTCCTGTGTTCTGTTAAAAGAAAGTCCTTTCACTCAATCTTTTGAGAATAAACTAACGAACTTTCAGTCACATGGTATCTCTGGTACTTCCTTGGTACTTATGTCTTCACAAAGTTTGTCTCTTCAAAAAAGGAATCTGTCCCCACCAACTTCCCACTTGGTGGTCAACTAAAATTAGTATTTTACTTTTCTGCTTGGCATAGCAGTTCCTGTTTTCCATCTTCCTGCCCAAATCCATCTGACTGACTCTGAGAGGGAGCAAGATCTGTTGATAGAATTTTAACCATGCTTTTTCCTGAAATCAAGGTGCAAGTCATTTCTTTTCAATGGAAAGACAGTAAAATGTGAATTTTCTCTGTTTGCTTTACTTTTTCAAACTCGTCCATTTATTAGATTGAAATTGATAAACCTTTTACTTTGTCCCATTTATCGATGTCATCACAGAATCCCTACAGTATGGAAACAGGCCCTTCGACCCAACAAGTCCATAGCAACCCTCAGAGCATCCCACCCAGACCCAACCGCCTAATCTACACATCCCTGAACACTATGGGCAATTTAGCATGGCCAATCCATCTAGCCTGCACATCTTTGGACTGTGGGAGGAAACCGGAGCACCCAGAGAAAACCCACACAGACACAGGGAGAATGTGCAAACTCCACCCAGACAGTCGCCCGAGGGTGGAATCGAACCCGGGTTCCTGGTACTGTGAGGCCACAATGGTAACCACTGAGCCACTGTAATTTGTTAACTGACAGTTAAGGATAGCAATTGTAAGTTCTTGGTGGTCATGGAATGGGCAGTTGAAGCCATTGTAGAGTCAGATATGGTCATGATGAACTAGATCAAGGCAACCAAGGAAAGTTTTTTTGATCAGACTTCAAGTTGGACGAAGAAGGCTGATGGAAAGCAAGTCAGAAGATACCAGACCAAGTAATTGTATGCACATTATAAAACTACGATTTTTGCAATTAACTTCATGACAGTCACATATTATTTTTAGGATGACATTTTTAAGGACAGTTATTAAAAAAATATTTTCCTGTGCCTCATGCAATCATATTTGGTTGAAGCTGTGTCTCTTGCATGTCAGAAAAGCAAAAATGCCTTGGTGTTCTGTGATGAAAAAAATCACAAATATTAAAATGCTAATCACAAAAATTTTAAAGAGATTTGTTTTCATTAATCAGAAAGAGCATAATTAAATAAATCTTACATTGCTTACATTGGTATGATTGTAATTTTTAAAAGATAGCAGCAGTTTATTTGACAGATTTCACTTAGGAAATGAAAATAGCTTCATTTGTTTCAGTAATCACAGCTTGACCTGGTCAAGTAGTAACGTGATGGCTTTAAGGAGCCAATGGGCACAGAGTTGGACTTAGTAGCTGTTCCTTGGGTGCTATTAAGGACCAAAATAGCATCCAATATATACATGTACAGTTCTGCTGCAAATCAGATCAGACTCCATCTTGGTAAGGGCACTTGCTCTTACACAACTAATGTCCATCAGAACAATGCAAGGTAGACATATAATGATGCCAATCAAAATGCAATGCTGATTTAATGTCTGTGCTAGCATTTTAAAGCTCACTGCTACAGCTAATGTTTCTTGTTAACCCCACAAAGCTGAATACATGCTAAAGAACAGGAAAGAACCTCCAACCAACATCATTAAAGGGACTGAACAAAAGTTCTAATGAATTGCTTGTTGATTTTTTTGATTGTGATAATTTTGCAAGTGTTTAATGTTTTTCAAGTCTGTTTTTAAAGTCCTTTCAAGTTGTAAAATTCTACTGGGAGTGTTTTAGAAGGTGCTAGTGTGATCCCTTGATGTGAGTTCACTGACCAACATGAAAACCTCTCTAGAAATTAGACATGGTCAGAATTCAGAATCAAACACATCCTTCATTTTGAAAGATATTGTGTGTTAAGTTTGAAGTGAGATGGGGGAACAAAATCAGAATTGGTGTATCTGGTCACTGTCCCATGTTCCCAGCTCCCAGTGACTTTGCTGAAGGTAGTTGAATGACAAGGGCTTACTGCCTGGCAGGGCTGGGTAAAGCCAATGAGATAATTAATGGGCGATGATGACAATGCCACTGGAACCTTGCTGGTTTGACAGTGCACCACAATCGGTTCAAAACCTAGCAACTCTCTGGAGGAGGTCTCCTGTCAACAGGCTGAGGGGCCATCACATTGAAGGCCTTACATCCAAATGATGGGCTGTTGGGATGAAAGGCTGCACTCATGGCTGAAATAAATCTTCCAGAGGGATATCCTCTCCAATCTGAAGAGCTTCCCAGCTTTGAGCTCCTTCACTTCCAATATTTTCACCTCAGTCCCAAGAACGCCTTGACATGTACATGTTCCTCCTGCCAGTTTCAATAGCACTTTCCTCCCAGGGGCCTGCTAACCATCTGATTGGGCCTGCCAGCTCAGGAACCCGTAATTGGACCTGAGCTATGGAAGTAATTAACACAAGATCGCATTAGAGACTGCTCAGTAGACATGTGTGACGTTGGGGCCAGGAAATGGTCCTGACTTCTGAATACAATGTATTATCTGCATATTGGCTCCTATTGATGAAGTCTCAGCATAAGTGGAAAAAAGATATTTGGCAAGTACAGAGGCTGGGAAAAGGGCATTGGTGGGGGGAAACGCCGAGGTAGAAATAACAAAAAGATCTGTGATAGGGTGAAAGACAGTTGAAATTATATTTGTAAAGGGATGATGGTAAAAGACAAAAGGAGATGGTAATGAGACAGCTAAAAAAAAATCAGAATATCTCACCAATCAAATCAGGATCTAAAATCCAAACCAATCTAAATCTTGATTTTTTGACCCTCATGAACGATAACAATATATGTATTTATGCAACACTTGCCACACAACATCCTGATACATTTAGCAACCAATTAAATATTTGTGAAGTATAGTCGCTGTTGTAGTGTATGAGCCAATTTGTACACAGCAAGGTCCCACAGACTGCAATGTGATAATGATCTGATAATCTGATTTTTGAGGGATAAATATTGGCCATCTGTTACTTCACAAAAATTACTGCAACAAGAATATTTTATATATCCAGAAAGGCAGATGGACCCTCAGCATAATTCACCCTATCTGAAGTTAGCACCTCCAATAGCGTAGAGCTTCTTCAGTTTTGCACTAGGGGTGCCAGATTTGCTTTTTTTTTAACAATCAAATCGACAAACCAGGGACTCAGAGCCAGAGTGAAACCATTGTGATTCAGTAACTATGCAGCACCTTGGACGATGTAGAGTCCAGCAACTAGTTCTGGTGAGGAGTCCATAATCCAGCCACCTTGATCTCCCAAAGTAGGATAAATCGAAATGGGGGAGAAAAATAGCATTGAGATATTGAGTAGGTAACATTAGTCATTTTCAAGTTGAGCTTAAATCCTCCTCTTTGTTGTAATAGTGAGAAGTGAGAATAAAACATGAAAGCTTTGTGTAAATATCAAGGAATATTCAACTTACGTTAACACAGGACAATTGCAAACGGAAGCACCAGCAGTGTTTCATGTTTCTTAGTACGACAATAAGCAAAAAAAAATTCAAGCAAACAAAATGCATGTAACAAGAGAGGCGCCTAGTGGTGAATGCATCATACTGCTACTGGTTGCAGAGTTTAAGAAAATTGCACCGTTTACTGACAGTCCATTGAACTGTATCTGGGATTCTCAATTGGGAAGTTACAGTGTCAAAATTGACATTCATTACAAATGTGGTAGTGGCCCTAAGGGTTTAATGTGTTTGTGTTGCAACACTTTAAATTATTTATTGTTTGTACATTTTCATTCTGGTCATTGCAGCTTCAGAATGACTTTTTTTTCTCATTTAGGTTGTTAACTGGGCAGATCACTACAATCTTAAAGCGTGAGTAGTGTTTTGTAATTCAAGTTACGTCTTGGGACAGCATAATTTTCACTAGCTTTAAATTATGTATGTAGGGGGTGTAAGAAAGGCATTGTAAATTTCGTGCAACACAACAAAGGATAAATCATTAATTTTGCAGTCATTACTATAATGAAAATGACGAATGTCAGTATTAAAACTAACTGGGTAAAGAACTGCTATGATAGTTTTCTCATTTGAACTCGTGTCATGTTTTCAAAAAAGCATGAAATTACAGTTTCCATGGCAACGTAAGATTACTTCATTTATTATTGAGCCAGGTTATTTTGTAAATTTAAACTTGCGATTTTCAGTGACATTTAAAAGTGACTAGTGAGATATAATGGTCCATAAAAATATTGTGAAATGTTATTATTTTTGCTTGCAAATTAGCAACCATGAAACAGTTCCACAAATACTATGATTGAAGGTTACTGAGCAAGTGAGATTTTCTATAAAAAAAAGATAATTATTTGAAAAGGGAAAATATGAAAGACCATGAAAGGGCATAGAAATGTGATTAGGTGGATAGCTGAAACAAGTGGACTGGACTGTATGGGTTCCTTCAATGCTATAAAACTCTATGATACTGTAAAAAGTTCAAACTGAATAATCAATGGAATTTCTTGAGGCAAGTTAAGTAGCTATGCATCCGTAAGTGTCTCCAAAACACTGTTTCTATCCATAATGTTCTTCTTGCTTTGCATATTGGTAGCCAATATCCAAAACATTCTTTCCTGTCTCGTACAATGATAGAAAGTGTATCGCAATATCTAAAAATCAAGTATTAACTGATTAAAATGATTTCAGTATAAGTCATACATTTTAGGTGATTAACTTTTCCTGAATTATTTGTGTGAAATTTAATTTTCAAATTATTTTGTTACAGCTTTAACCATTTTTTTTGCTGTTTTCAAAAAAAACTTCTGTTCACTTTGCTTTACTTATCGTGCTGCAATTACTTTTATGAGCATTATTTTCGTAAACTTATATATCCATAGAAGGCTGGAAAGCCAGTCTGTTATATAGAATTTTGACTTTGCTTTTCCTTCTTTTAGGTGATTCATAGATGCTGAATAGATTAAGGTCTGGTTACTATGGTGCCCGAGACACATCTTCAGGGAGGCTCTTCTGATTCTTTTCAATGCATATCTGCCATTTATCCCCATTAGAAGTTTTGTTTAAAAGCAGGAGCCTGTATCTTAGTGAAAGCGGAAATGATATGGTATTGAACAACTATGAATAAACAAAACCATTTGAATTTTCTATAGCCTTTAGAGCAACAATGAAGTTTTTTTTAATTTTCATTATTTTGTAATGTAAATTTGTATATTACTTTTGTGTGGCAATGAATATAAACAAAGTGCTGCCCCTTTCTTTGGTGGAAATGCTTTAACTTTATCACTCTATCAGTTTTAAAGGTCTTACATTTCCTGTGAGGACAGAAGTTTCAATATTTACTGCTGCAATAGATGATGATATTTGTGGTATTCACCATTCAGATGAATGGGAGTGGACTATCTACCAACAGGGAGCAGTCATCTAGTTTTCTTGTACTGATCCTTAAATAATGGATTATACTTTAACAATATATCATGGCCTTCATAAATTACAAGATACAAGGAAGTTTTTTTTTTAAATGCCAAGCTAAGTGACAGGACTAGATGCTAGAAAGTAAGTTCTCTGATGTTGAACATCCAATTAACTTTAGAAAAGGACATATATTTTTATCAAAAACAGAAATTGCTGGAAAAGTTGAGCAGGTCTGACAGCATCTGTGAAGAGAAATCAGAGTTAATGTTTCCGGTCCAGTGACTCTTCCTCAGAACTGTTCTGAGGGAGGGTCACCAGACCCGAAACATTACGTCTGATTTCTCTTTACAGATGTTGCCAGACCTGCTCAACTTTTCCAGCAATTTCTGTTTTTGTTTCTGATTTACAACATTTGCAGTTCTTTCAGTTTTTACACTTTTTTTGTCATTAGTTAAAATGTTTGAATGTATTAACAAATGTAAAACAGTATCTAGGTAACTCAATTCAGTATTAAAATTCATGTCTCAGAAACTTAATCTTCAAAAGTCTATGGCTTCCTTTACAGGTATCAAGCAGAACATTTTCCAAGCTGCATTTTTACTTCACTGAATCACAATATCTTCCTCTCTTCAAATCCTATCCCTACCCTGTATGTTCTTTTTAGCATTAATGACACATGGACATAACCCTGTAACAGTAACTCTCCATTACCTTGTTTCCAGTGCTAGCCAAGATCAACTTATCCTGACTCCAGATTGCACATTGCATTACAACCTATTTGAATTCTCACTAGATTAATTCATTGTAGATCGTTAATTTGTAGCCTACTATCATGTAAACCAATTTGTACATCATAAATGCCACAACTGGACAATGTTTACAGCTTTCCAGATAAACAAATGTTACTGCATATCATTCTGTTTGCTCAGCCAATATATTTTGCCAAAATAAAAAAAGAATTAGATTAATTTTTATCTTGGCAAGTTCAGCACACCAGTGCTCACCAGAGTTATGCAATTGGTTAATTCATAATATTAAAACAATTATGGATTGTATTTTCATCTTAAGAGGCTGGTGGCAGGAGTAATTGAATTTCCTGGCTCATCATGCCCAGGTATGTTTGTTCCCTTGAGAGAAAGTATCAGTAAGAGCAGAAATTTTGTTCCAAAGTTGGGCACCAACTGTCCTCCACACATTTCCCATGCCCTTCCAAGCAAACTCATGCCCCTCCACACACCCCTCAGCTTTCAGCCAAGCCCAATTTGCATTATTTTCTTAGAGCCCATACATCCAATAGTTTGTTGAAACACTGAGTGATATTGCTTGATTGATAGCTTTTTCTCTTAGATCTATTTCAGAACTGTACATTGTGTATTTACACAAGCTAAAAAGGTGTCAAGTGCTTGCAGTTTCTCCCTTTGATACTTTAAAATTCTGTTTCTTGCCACATTGAAAGGGTGTCATGAAAGCAGTTTTTTAATAATTATTTTAATAATTAATTTATCTTAATAATAATTATAAAAAGTAAGTTATGAATAAATGACTAGTTTTACAATGTTTTCAAATATGCCATTTGGGTCCTTGGTGTTGTTCCAAATGTATACTGAGTAAATTAGTATTGAAGTGTGATAGGTGGGCAAGAAGGGTAGGAAGGACCATGGAAATATTTGGAAAGGCATAGACTAGTATGGAGAGTATAGGGTCTCAGGGGTGGATAGAGGGACATTAGAGGCATTGCCAAAATCTTTTGAACAAATCGTCAATATGTTTCCTCATCCAAAAATATACTTTATGATTATTCTAATGGGCTGTTAATTACAATTCCTTGAAAAGCTGACCCAACTGCACAAAAATGATAAGACGCTAGGACATGCCTTTCTCTGCAATGGAAGTGGCTAAATTGGGAGTACAAGGTGTGGGCTTATGACCCAGACCAGCTGACACCCTTCTTCACTGCTGCTGAAAATTGGGGTCACTAGGACTGGGCATGGGAATCCGAGCATTGAGTTTTGACTGCTTCATTTGAGCCTTTCTGACTTCCTGAACATCCAACCCTATATCACTAACAATAACATTTCCTTTATTCGCAAGCTCACTGATACACTTCCAGACTACTAAATTTCCCAAGCAATTGCTTTAAGCTCCATACAGCTAGGCAACCCCTTGATTATGTCAAATATCTTTGCACAATGCTTCTGTTGGGAACTGAGTTCAGGTTCTGTTGACAGCAGCAGTGTGATCTGAATGTGCCTTGTGGTGATGTTGTAGACTTCATGAAACCTCACATAGATCAGGGAAGTATTTTCAATCTCTATCTCCCTGTGATTCATGTCTACCATTCTTTTTCTTTGGCTTCTCTGTAGTTAACTACAGTAACACCACTCAAAAATTATGCCTGGCCTCTGACTGTTGGAAATACCACTCTTTGAATAAAAATATACTGCCACAAGTACTTCCTACTCATTATGAGTTATATCTGTAAGTTAAACATTAGTGACTAATTTGATCACAGCATACATTCTTCTGACACTTCAATAAAGGCAATCTGAAAATCTTTCAGAAATGTAAGTTAAGTTCTGATAATTCATTTCTTCACTTAATCTGTACTTGGTTATAGCGTTAAGAAGTACAAATAAATCTTTAATAGATACACAGGAACAGTTTGAGAACATCGGAGTTGTTCATCACCATTTTAGTCCATCTTGAAAGATGTCAAGAGTACAGATTAGGATGTGGGATGTTGCCCAAAGTTAAACATTTTTAAAATCACTAAAAATACTAAGACATTACAGTGTAAAGTTGACAGTAAGTTCAAATATGAAATAATAAAAAAAATTTGCATTAACTAAAATGCACCTGACCTTGTAATTCTGAACAGTTGTGCAGTGAAATCTGTCTGTAATGACTACCTCTGGGACTGTCTTCAGGTAGTCTTTGTAGACAGGTGATCACTAATATGAGTTCAAATCCAAATCATTATTTAATTGTTAGGAATGACTCTTCCATAGATGAGCTTTAAGACAGGTTCAACAAACGTATCATACCGTGCAGTAACTATTAGTTTGTAAGATATCAATTAAATTATAATATTGAGTCTTTTACCAAGTTGTGGATTTTGAGTTAAATTACATTTTTGATATTTTGCTAAATTTCTGTACTTCTCAATATTTCAGCGTAATTGCCGGACATCAGTTTGCTCATTGTGATTAGAAATTCATGAACCACAATTTGTCAAACCAACTATATTGGTGGAAGAATTGGATGAGAGATAACTGGCAATATTGCAAAAGTAATTTAGGCATGCAGACAAATTGTGTAACACCATGGAAATCATGACATTGAAAACAAAACAGCATAACATTCACAAAAGGATCATCAAACAGAAATATGTAAGTTAGAGACTACTAATATTTCTCAAGAGGTTACATCACTATTGTATCAATTTTACTTTATTACTGCGAAATATGCTTTAGTATAATGCCACTACAAAAACCACAGTGATAGCACTTTACCATCAAATTGTGGATTGCCCAATGCTATTTGTGCTAGATTGTACACTGTAGATTTTTAAACAAAACATAAATAGAGGATATTCATTTTTGGATCTGTACCAGTTAGGTCAGTTGTCATTTTACATCAATCAAAGAATAATGTTGCATTATTGACATGATTGCTGTAGTTTGTCATTCCATAATTAGCAATAACAAATAAAGCGTGCTGGTGAATACACTTTGGGATTTGTTTGACCACCTGGCCTCACCTTGTGCCCAAACTAATTCTGGCATGCAGTAAAATTACTTGCATTAATTAGCAATTAATTTATACCTTCTTGTTCATTATTGCTTCATTAAAGTAAAGTATGTGATACAAGGAGAGAGTGCATCGTGTAATTGATTGTTTCAGTAATCACAGTCTGCTTTTACTGCTCAGAGTCTTTAGATGTTTTCATATATTGAGCTCTAATCCTAAGTGTATCTGGGCTGTCGATTCCGTTTTGCATTACAAATCATTCTGGCCTTGCAGTCTGCTTTAAGAGGTCATATAATCCAGCTAAGGTTGAATAGCATTCTAAGAATGTCCAATATTAACATGTCTTTGTAAGTGTTCTTGTCCGATGAACAGAAGAAGGCACTGGAAAATAAATGTTTTCTGTTCCATGCAAATACAGATATAAAGCTATCAAGAAAGAATTGGACCTTTTCGGCCTTGCAGATCAGTTAGGTACTGCCACAGCAAAAATCATCAGCTGTCAACCAAGTACCTTCCAGCTCTCTTGAGAAGTCTGACTATGGGCATTGTAATAATGGACTGTCTATAAGGTATCCCCAAGGCAAAGTATCTAGGATTTAATGGGATAAGTATAGCATTCCTAAGAGGAGTATTAAGAGTCTTGTGCTGTTTTTCATTCTGTGCCCAGCTACAATCACAGTACAATTTCACAGATCCATGATCAATTACGGATACAGCAATCAGTAACTGCAGTATATTCAGGCCTTTTACATCATTTATCAGTAATCTTACCTTGTCAGTATCCTCCGCTAACTAGAGCAAGTATGCACTACTACAGAATCGTCCTTTTTCGAAAAAAATAACAAACATACCCCTTTTCTTCTTGTCTTCCCTACAACCAATAAAGGTTAGAATGATAAATC